GATACTTGTTTGTTTGTTTGTTTGTTTGTTTGTTTGTTTATTCAGACTGCCTGTCGCTGTGTGACCTGGGGTACCAGTTCTGTAGCTGATAATTGTTTGTTTGTTTGTTTGTTTATTCAGACTGCCTGTCGCTGTGTGACCTGGGGTACCAGTCCTGTAGCTGATAAATGTTTGTTTGTTTGTTTGTTTGTTTATTCAGACTGCCTGTCGCTGTGTGACCTGGGGTACCAGACCTGCAGCTGATAATTGTTTGTTTGTTTGTTTGTTTGTTGTTTAGACTGCCTGTCGCTGTGTGACCTGGGGTACCAGTCCTGTAGCTGATACTTGTTTGTTTGTTTGTTTGTTTGTTTGTTTTATTCAGACTGCCTGTCGTTGTGTGACCTGGGGTACCAGTTCTGATAACTGTTTGTTTGTTTGTTTGTTTGTTTATTCAGACTGCCTGTCGTTGTGTGACCTGGGGTACCAGTCCTGTAGCTGATACTTGTTTGTTTGTTTGTTTGTTTATTCAGACTGCCTGTCGCTGTGTGACCTGGGGTACCAGTCCTGTAGCTGATAATTGTTTGTTTGTTTGTTTGTTTGTTTGTTTATTCAGACTGCCTGTTGCTGTGTGAGCTGGGGTACCAGACCTGTAGCTGATGTTTGTTTGTTTGTTTGTTTATTCAGACTGCCTGTCGCTGTGTGACCTGGGGTACCAGTCCTGTATGGAGTCCTGCACCCACAACCCCAGCTGCCCGCTCCTCGGCTGTCTGTTCAAGAAACACTACTGCAACAAGACCTGCTATGCCAGGGTCAGCCGCAGGGGGGCGCCGCAGGACGATGCACTCATGCAGTTTGACTGACGAGAACCCACTGATGCTCCCTTAAGATAACTAACTACTCAGAAAGTGACAACAAAGTTACCTTAACCTTGTATATGTAGGCAGGAAATGTTTTCCTTTTTGTTGTTGGTGTGACTACTGTATTTGTGGACAAGAAGTTATCTTGGTGAAGAAAACACACCAAGAGTGTGGTGGAAAAACAACAACTCTAGGTTTTGGGGCGATCCATTCAGGGAAGGGGAGAACCGTCCAGTCATACTCTACACCACAGCTGGCTACAGACCAGCTCAGAGAACGGGCAAGTTCATAGGATATATTATTAATCATCATACACTAGATATGGCAAGTGGTAACATATACATATCTCTCATGTATGATATTCAATATATGGTAAGTTTTCCATATATGGTAGTTTTCCATATATGATAAGTTTTCCATATATGGTAAAGTTTTCCATATATGGTAGGTTTAAGGTTTTCCATGTATGGCAAAGTTTTCCATATAGTGTATGTTTTCCATATATGGTATGTTTTCCATATATGGTAGGTTTTCCATATATGGTAAGTTTTCCATATATGGCAAAGTTTCCCATATATGGTGAGTTTTCCATATGTGGTAGGTTTTCCATATGTGGCAAAATTTTCCATATATGGTTAAGTTTTCCATATATGTTTAAGTTTTCCATATATGGTAAAGTTTTCCATATGTGGTAAGTTTCCCATATATGGCAAGTTTTCCATATATGGTAGGTTTTCCATATATGGTTACGTTTTCCATATATGGAAAATTTTCCATATATAGTAAAGTTTTCCAAATATGGTAGGTTTTCCATATATGGCAAAGTTTTGCATATATGGTAAAGTTTTACATATATGGTAGGTTTTCCATACTAGTATATGGTAGGTTTTCCATATATGGTAGGTTTTCCATATATGGCAAGTTTTCCATATATGGTAAAATTTTCCATATATGGTAAGTTTTCCATATATGGTCAAGTTTTCCATATGTGGTAAAGTTTTCCATATATGGTAAGTATTCCATATATGGTAGGTTTTCCATATGTGGTTAAGTTTTCCATATATGGCGAAGGTTTCCATATATCGCAAAGTTGTAAAGTTTCCAATATATGGCAAAGTTTTCCATATATGGTAAAGTTTTCCATATATGGTTAAGTTTTCCATATATGGTTAAGTTTTCCATGTACCGTAAATTTTTTGTCTTGTAGAACATCCCAGTAACATTACCCTGTATGTACCCTGGTTGGTTCAGGAATTCCATAGTTGTAATTGTCAGAATGATCTTTTATTGTCTGAGAGAAATAAAAGGTGACTACATCATGATCAAAGTTATCAGGACTGTTTACTTGAAAGAAAGAAATAAATACAAACTCATGAATTCAAAATTATAACATACACTTTTCATTTGTTTTTTAATCTCTTTCATGATTGTTGTGTAACTTTTATTTAAAAACCCTGGGTTTAAAAAGTTCAAGATATTCCAACAGTACCAATAAAACAAAATGTAAAAATTGTACCAAGCGATTAAGTACCAGCACCAATTCATCATTGACTTACAATAACATTTGACCGCTGTCAACAGCTTAAAAAAGTAAAATCTAAAAGTATGATTGTCATTGGCTTGTTTAAGTTCTTAAAACCTGAGCAAAATTGCCAAATGCTAAAACATGACCATATTATTTGTTAACTTAGTACTGTCCTAAGATACATGTCCAGCACCATTTGATATGTTTGAAATCCTTAAACAACAACTTGAAGTTATATTTTGTTCTGACTTGTTTTACCTGAAAATGATACATTCGATATGTAATACTGTGTCCCTTTATCCTCAAATATTAGTTGTTATTTCATACAATTTCTAATAAGAGATATGGATGGCAAGACTGATATAACATTCTCAGCTACAACTGTGGTCTGAGTGGCACAATTTTTCATGAGGTGTTCTAGTATATCTTTACCTCAGGCAATATTTTTACCACATTTTACATTCAGTTACATTTTCCCTGGTAATTCATGAGTTCATTATCTGCATAATCCTCCAGTAAGTTGAGTATTTACAATTTATTTCATTTATCTATTTACTTATTATTTAGCTTAGGCAAAGGGGCCATATTAAAAGTACAGAGATATACAGTTATAAAAAGTTCTACCTAAAATATTGCATTTCAATACTGAGTTTATTTGTGCGTGTTTTTTACTTCCAATGATATTTTACAGGGGAGGTTATTATTTTATCCACTATTTTCTTACTTCTAAAAGGGTATTAGGTACACTTAGTCTTCCCTTTTCTATTTATGGCAGTTTTGTTTGTATCATATTTGTTGTCATTTGTAGTATTTACATGTTGTTATTAGTTGATGTGATCATCATCATATTCCATAACGTCATAAGTTGTCGGCTTATTCTGGCACTGAACAATTCTATAAAGTAAAAAACAAACAAAAAGATAAATAAATAAGCAAGAAACCAAAGAGTGAAGAAAGAAAGTTAGTTGTTTGAAAACATAATAAAACTTGCAAACATCAAAAGAGGGAAGGGACACATCATGCATTTGACCTTGAATAATGCTGAGGCCACTGTAGCCTTGCTGAATTTTTATCTAGAATGTTTGAGAATATATTAGGTGGACTTTATTTCTTTGCTTCTAAAGCTGCTTTTCTGACAACTCTCCAGTGTCACTGACAAAAGGTAGTGGATACTAGCTGAAACGTCTGACCGTTACCAAAATCATACCCAGTTGCTTATGGAACTGTTTTTTGACATATATTAGTAATACCTTCACCGACGTATCAAGGAAATATTTGAAAATGTGAATAAGAAGAAGTGTGACGTACCCAATGAGTGCTGCCTGGATATGCTTCCAGAACCATGCCTGATCCTAACCCTAACCCACTGAGAACCAATGAAATAAGTGCCTAGAAAATTTGAATTAGAAGAATTTACTCACCCGATGAGTGCTGCCTGTACAGCCAGTGTGCCAGCGTAACACAGGAACACCAGACCTGGCATGAAGGAGACACTGGCACCGAACGCTGCGTTCCACACAGGGTTAAAAATCACTCCTGCCAGGCTCTCTACACAGGCTATCAGCGCAAACAGGCTGCCTGTAATTATAACATACAACAGATCAGACACATACACTAACACACAGGCTATCAGCGCAAACAGGCTGCCTGTTACACACAACAGGCAACAGGTCAGACAACACAAACAGGCTGCCTGTAATTATAACATACAACAGGCAACAGGTCAGATAAAACACAAACAGGCTGCCTGTAACAGAACAGGCAACAGTCTTTAGTAAATCATGCTGATTAGGCTCTCTACACAGGCTATCATCGCAAACAGGCTGCCTGTAATGGAGACAGGGACAGTTCAGACTCATACACTAACACAAAGGCTGCCTGTAACACAACAGGCAACAGTCTTAAGAAAAATAGAAAATAATGCTGACATCAAGCTATTTGTGAACAAGCTTGACGTATCTGTATTACTAAGGCCACACCAATTTAATTTGTTGGTTCTCGGATTCGCCTCTTCATTTTTTTCTAATTTGAAAAAAAAAAAAAAAAGATTCTGTTTCTGAATCAACTTGAAAATGCTCATGTTTTGCCCCCAACAGTTGAGGAAAGTCCTTTTCCTCCTAGTTGTTGTTACAGTTTTTCCATCTATCAATGCAGTGGTTTGATTAAAAGCTCAAACTTCATTTTTGAAATATCAACCTAGCCTTTTGTGTTGACTCCATGGATCCTACAGTATAGCATTTGGGGCTATAATAGGATGCCTAAACCTGTTTTTATTTTATTTTTTTTTCGCCCTGTCGCTTCATATTTCTTCTGAAAAAATCCGAGAACCAACAAATTAAATTGCTATGGCCTAAAGGTAATAATTGTTTGAGTTTACAGAACTCTTTAGACAATTAACAAATGAGTGGGTTATTAGCTAAATTTGTTCCTCTGGCTTTTTCTAGCTTCAAACAATTTACATACACAAAATCTACTATTAGACACTCCCTGCCACCAAGTACAATAAAGTGGTTGAATGTTCAACTCAGTAATGAATATTTTCATTCAAAGCATATTAAAACTAGGCTGTTGTTAGTTCTCACCCTGTTGTGACTGCGGCACCATTTTGGACATGATGGCCTTCATCAGTGGAGCCGGCATCGTCTGTATGCAGGCAGCCGCCGATGCTGAAATAAACAAACAAACAAACAGAATTTTATTAAATAGTTTGGCTGTTCAACCCTCACAGCCAGGGCAGCCCAACTAGCCTGTGGATATTGCAAAGGGCTTCCCCTGCTGACAAGACATGACAAAGCATTACAGCAGAGCAGTCAGGGTCAGTGTGAACAAACGGAACTCAGGAATAAGCAGGGCCTTGCACTGGGTTTGTGAGCTGCAGCAAAGCAGCATTGCACGAGACTTACATGTAGCTACTAAGAAAAAGCATCATGCTTTACAACTGTTGAGGATGACTGATGGCAACAATTGGGTTCACATTTGTGTGACAACCACAATTCTGATGAAATTTCATCTGTGTTGGTAGACTTTTTTTGCCATTCTGAATCAAGATACAGTTACTGTAATTTCCAACACAAAAAATATTAAGATTCACACAAATTTTTGACTGACGAACTCCAGTCTTTCTCAAGGACATAAAACGTAAAGTCACAGAGTTGTTACAGTTATTGCTCAGATTCGTTTACAAAGACTCAAGTTTGTTGAAAACAAGAATCATTGAAGAAACAGTTTCGTGTGTTCTGCTGACCTGCAAAGAAGGCAGCATTGCGGTTTGGTGTGTAGACAGCTAACGCCTGTATCACAAACCCTGCTGCTCCTGACAGGAAACCAACCTGGGGACGACATGCAACAGTGTGTACTCCAGCTTTTAAACTCTGGTAACAGTTCATTTCAGTCTAAGCTTAAGTTACAGACAAAACCAACCTGTCTGTACTCCAGCTTCAGCAATTTGGAAAGTTCATTTCCAGACTTAGAAACAGACAAACCCAACCATTGAAGACAGAACTTGTTGCATCCAGAACTGTGCAATTTGATTTCCTTATAAGAAGGTTAAACATTTATATTCATGAGTGAGACCTACATAAACACTTACATGTTATCATGGAAGTTCATCTTTCAACATTCTAAAGATGCTCACTTAACAAAGATGGTGGACAATATAAACCATCATTCTGGCACGTTTGATCAATATCTGACATGACGTATCCGTATGGTCTCGTCTGAAAGGGTTCATGTGTCTGTGAACCCTAACTCTTACTTGCAAGATCACGTTGTGAAGTGATTGGTCATTAATTATCACGATGAAGGCGACAGTGGTGGTTGAAAATTTGCTCTCTGTGTAACCCTAATGTGTTTTACTATTATGTATTAAAAAAAACACATGGATGAGCCTGTACGATAAATAAACCAGAAACAAACAGACTTACATGAATGAGGCCGTACATTGACAGACATTTCCCCAGAAATGTACGCTGAAAATTCAAACCCTAATGAGTTGGAATGAAGTTCAACATTTTACTATATAAAAAACCCACTCACATGAATGAGGCCGTACATGGACAGACATTTCCCGAGCAGTTTGATGCCGACGACGCCGGTAACGAAGCCAGCGCACACGGCCGTGTAGAAGTACCCCAGCAGGTCAGAGGTCCAGCAGTAGGGAGGGGCGATCAACTACATGTACACACCAGATCAACACATTGGTTTCTTGCACAAAGGCATATTGCAGCCTGGCGGCTGAATTACATCACAGTTTGTTTGCCTGTTCTAAAAAACATTGTCAGTTAAAGAATAAAGATCATTTCAAGTTTTCAAATTCAGGTGTGTTCGATATTTGCTGTGTCTAGTTTTGTTGACACAGCATTACATGCTGTAATGGGTGCTTTAGTTGTGACAGTAGACGAAAGTAGTACTGTATTAAAGGCCTTGTATTAAGGCTAATGCTACACAAACACACACCGCGCTACACACCCTTGTACAATATAAACGTCGATTGACTGGCATTCATTGCGGTAAACAAACTGTAAGTAGGTATGGCGTTAAAAACAGGCTACAAGATGCACTAAATGATTAACGAAAATACCGAATGTCTGGTTGTGGATTCATCATTCAATCTTGCCTGTGCATAAAAGTGTCGGATTAAGGTTCACTGCCGTTACCCCAATAGACCCATTCAACTTTCACGGATCGCGTTAACTGCTTACGTCACAGGGGGGACATTTCGAATAGAAATTACGTCACAGGGGGGACATTTCGAAAGTTCCTTTCACGGATTGCATAAACTGCATACGTCACAGAACAAAATAACCTTAAATTGTTGTACGGAATGCCACCATACAAAGTTGGTGCCTGTTTTCCTGTCATGTCCGCATATATTACCAAGAAAATAGACACTTACCTACCTTTTAGTAAAAAAAATGATCTAACAGGGGGACACCGAGAGCGCAAGCTCCGTTCAACTTCAGCGTTCTAGAATGACGTTCTTTCGAAATGTCCCCCCTGTGACGTAAGCAGATTATGCGATCTGTGAAAGTCGAATGGGTCTATTTGTTTCCTTGGATTTTGTATTTTTTGTCCATGTAATCATCATATCTCTGTTTAATTACCTTGTGTAGATAACGGTGATACTGGTATAGTAGTATAAGTTCTAAGGAGCTTGAGTTTGCCGCTATCTCATTTGTATTTATTTTCTTGCTGACTTTGAATTTAAAAAAACATGCCTCACCGTGAGCGTGACGATGCCAGAAGACGTCATGTAGATCCCACAGTTCAGGAAGAAGACGAACAGAACCACAGCGAGGCGCCACTGGGACGTCTTAAAGGAGTGTCTGACCAGGTGAACCATGCCTGACACACTGGCTAAGGAGCACACCTGGAATGAGTGAATGAATGAATGAGTGAATGAGTGAATGAATGGATGGATGAATGAGTGAGTGAATGAATGAATGAGCATTATTAATGAATGAGTGAATAAATGAATGAGTGAGACTGAATGAGTGAATGAATGGATGAATGAGTGAGTAAATGAATGAATGAATGAATGGATGAATGAATGAATGAATGGATGAATGAATGAATGAATGAATGAATGAATGAATGAATGAATGAATGAATGAATGAATGAATGAATGAATGAATGAATGAATGAATGAATGAATGAGTGAGTGAATGGATGGATGAATGATGCACATCAGGCAGAATGTGAGAGAGTTGGGACGTCCACCAGTTTATTAGTCATTTTGTACATCATGCATAGTCTGGACATTCTACGTCTGTCTTCCAGCGACCCCCACTGTAGGTTTCTTTTCATTTCCGTTACACTAGCACCCCTTTGACAGTTGTTCGTACAGAATCTTGCAGCTTGGTTCTGTACCCTTTCCAATTTGTCTTTGTCTTTCCTTGTATATGGATCCCATACTGTCGAGGCATATTTTAGCGATACTTGACTTCACAAAGGCGTTATATACATGTATGTCAGTTTAGCTGAATTGAGTTGTGACATAATATAAAAGCAATAAGACTTAGTTATATGTTACACCAATAACATTATCTCATTATTTCATCAGTCAGACCATTGATTGATATGAAAATCAATGAAGTCAAAAAAAAGTTAACAAAAGTTAAGAGAAGTCAAGACAAGGATGATGCAAATTAGTCAAATAGTTCCATAAACCTCAAACCTTCTGTCCCCGGCGTTTCGGACACGTCTCTCTGATCCCGAACAAGGCGTACAGCAGGGAGAAGGCAGCCAGGCCGACCGCTAGGAACAACGGTTGTTGGAAGCCCTGCGGTTCCCCCATCTTGGCCAGCCACAGGTTACCTGTCAACACACCTGCCACAGCTGCAACACCTGGGAAAACAACAACAACACCTGGATAAACAACAACACCACACGTACAGGTTACCTGTCAGCACACCTGCTACAGCTGCAACACCTGGGGAAACAACAACAGAAACACCTGGATAAACAACAACACCACACGTACAGGTTACCTGTCAGCACACCTGCTACAGCTGCAACACCTGGGGAAACAACAACAGAAACACCTGGATAAACAACAACACCACACGTACAGGTTACCTGTCAGCACACCTGCTACAGCTGCAACACCTGGGGAAACAACAACAGAAACACCTGGATAAACAACATTGCCACAGGTCACTGCTGTAACACCTCTAAGCACAGCAACAGCACCAGTCCTGTAAAGACAACACCACCAGTAGTTGTGGCATAATGAAATCTGAGATTGAGTCTGTCGCTTCATTTTGCACAGTTTTCATATCCAGAACCATGCTTGATCTTCTATGCCTGATCAAGCATGGTTCTAGATAGTCTCTACCATATCCAGAACTATGCCTAATAAATGTAGTTTATTGCCTAAAGGGGTTGTTACGGTTAGGATCAGGCATGTTTCTGGATAAAGCAGGGTTTTGGATACAGCAGGGATCCCAAACCAGCTTATCCACTGGCAGCTCTACAGAATGGCCATGCGGAATGCCCGGAAGTTCCTGGATTACCTGTGTCTGATCCTAATCCTAACCAGGCACAGACCTAGACAGGGACAGTTCTGGACAGTCCACATGTATCCAGAACTGTGCCTGTGGCAAATCTACGTTCTGGGAGACTATATGGAGATTATCCAGAACCGTGCCTGATCCTAACCCTAACCCATTCAGGCATAGAACTAGATAGGCACAGTTCTGGCTTAGATATACATGTAAATGTGTCTGGAAATGAGACCTACCCAGACAGCTCTCGAGGATGGCCATGCGGAAAGCGCGGGAGTTCCCGGGTTCCGTGATGTCCGTCAGGTAGGAGAAACAGCCGCCGTACAGTGTGGTCGAACTTCCCAGCATGCCATACAGCAGGGTTCCTGGGGGAGGGGGGCAAACGGAGGTCACGCCAAGGTCACACCTTTAGATGATAATCAGTTATAGTATCGTCGTGAAAGTTCATCTGTCACTTAAGATCCAGCACAAAAAGTTCTCTTACCTAGAACTTGACCCAGTGTTGACGTGACACTTCAAAGAAGCCATGTGACAAGCCTCACTGGGTCAGTCTACTGAGGAAGACCAGAGTGACTGGTCAAAAGCTCTAGGTGAGAGAATTTTTTGTGTTGGATCTAGAGTTTTAACTTTAAACAGAATCGTTTACCCAAAAGGAAGGAAAAAATTTGACCTATTTGATTCCTGGCAAGACTTGTGTCGTTGGGAAAGACACTCAACACGACTTTCCTCACTCCACCCAGGTGTAAAATGGGTACCTGACTTCCGTTGGGGAGGTAAAAGGCAGTGGAAGAAAAGGGACGGGTTCTGCCTTCCAACACCGTGCCCTTGACACAATGGACTAACAACTCACTGCCCCTACAGCCTCAAAAAGGCTATGGGACTACGTTTAAATTTAAGTTTTCTTGTTCTTGAGAGTACCAATGAATTCTGGACCTACCTGGTAGGAGGCCCACAAGTGGGATGTCCAGATAAAAAACCAGAGCCGTGTTCACCAGTCTGGAAAAAGGGAAAAAAATAATGAACTAAAAATTATTGCATTTTGCATAGGTTCACAAACGTCAATCTGTTTTATAACAGGTAGGATACATGTATAGGTAAGGTATTGGTTGAGCAACATCACTCAAGCAACTGGATACGTTTGAAAACTGTAAGATGTTTCACTGACAAAAAGTAGTATAGATGTTTGCTTACACATGAAAAATATTACAAGCAACAGTTACTGGATAGATTTTGAAAACTGTTAGTCGAAAAGTAGTGACTACCATTTGGAATGTCTGATAGTTTTGACTTTCAAAACTATCAGACATTACAAATCGTAGTCACTACTTTTTCTAGCAGCATTTTCTAGAGTCGGTCGGGAAACAGGAAACACCTTTTTTTTTCCGGCCTTACTTGTATCAACGAAACAAGAAAACGAGAAACGTAGACTCACAGTGCGAGAGCGCCGGTTACGGGTGTGACGATGGCAACCTTGCGACCGACCTTGTCAGACATGGGGCCCAAGATGGCGGCGATGAGGAGTGAGGGAATGGAAGAACACAGGGACAGGTACGTCAGCCACTGGGACGCCTCTGCCTGCTGACCGGACTAAGGGACAAATATCATATTAAAACGTTAACTGGTTTATTGTCAAACATTACCCGTGCAATTACCAGGTCTCAGCAGTCAGTATACAGGTCTCCTACTATGCTGTACCCCCTCCTCTCCCTTTCACCCTCTTCCAATTCCTCCCCCCTGCAATACCTCAATCGGGAAGAGTGCTCGCTTTGTGACAGGGAGGTCGTGAGTTCAAACCCCGGCCGGGTCAACTTTAAAACTGGCACATACCACTTTCTCTGCTTAGCACTCAGCACATATGAGAAAGAGTGTGGGAAGATCAAACTCACAACAATAGTGCTTGCATACTTGTGTGGCCCAAGGGCTACAGAAAGAGATGGGCACAGCTTCACAGCTTCACCTTTCCCTCCCCCTTAACCTAACCTTAAACCCCCCTCCCCCCTGTCCCTAACCCCCTCCCCCTAACCCCCCCATACCCACCTGATGAGAGCTGTTGTAGTCCATAGCCCCACACACAGAGGAGTTGTGAGATGTTGCTGTGCCGTTCCCCAGACTGTAGTACAGATACTGCTGCAGCAGGGGACTGGACATGAACGACCCTATACCCTAAACAAACAAACAAACAAACAAAATATCATAAATATACGTCGATAAAGGTCAGACATCCTAATAAGATACGCCCAAAAAGCAGTTACTCGAGCAAACTCATATCCAGTTGCTTGAGTAACTGCTTTTTGGCGTATCATACATGTTTAAAGTTATTGACTTTCGATCCAACACATAAGTTCTCTCACCTAGAGCTTTGGACCAGTCACTCTGGTCTTCTCAGTAGACTGACCCAGTGAGGCTTTTCACGTGGCTTCTGTGACGTCAGCACTGGGTCAAAGGTATCTGGTAGACTTATCTGGGTCTAGGTGTGAGAACTTTTTGACTTGGATTGAAACTTTTAACTTTTAACACAGATGAACTTTCATGATAGCATACTTTCAGTAAGTTGGCAGCTACGATTTTGATCAAAATTCCTTCATTCTACAATATGAAAATTTGTCTCGGTTCTTTTTTTGTCAAGGTCAAGTATAAACAGGGTTCTGTTGTTTCTTGTCAAGGTCAAATGTAAATTAGGTTCTATTCTTCCTTGTCAAGGTCATGTGTACTGTTCTTTCTAATGTCAAGGTCAAATGTCTGACCCACCACAAACAGCAGGATGGGTTCCACCGTGATCGGACAGTACGGTTTGACCTTCACAGGCCCAAGGTCGTCTAGCAGCGGGGTGGAGCTGCTGACCTTGTCTCTCCTGGGCGCCATCTTGGATTCTGGGAAGTCTTCTGGAGGTCAACTATATCCTGTAGTAGGAGACAAACAAGGTTTATGGAAACATAAGGAAAATTGAGTTGCTTCAACCTTTATGTATAATTTTTTACAGAAAATAACCGAAATTCAAGGTTCAATATTATAAAATCATTCAAGGCTAAAGCGTATTGTTGTAGACACACACAAATTTCTTCTTAGTTAATCTACTTAAGATAAGAAATAATAATAATTATTGTGCTCGTACTAAGAAACAATTGTTCAGAATATAATATTGACTTTGAAAATCCAGTTTTGCCTCCCTGAAATTGCATAGCATGCCTTTAATGTTGACACATTCTGATTAATATTTAACCATTAATACTAGTACTGTAGTCAAGACAGCAATGCCGTAACAGGAGCAAGGTTCAAGTCTGACTAGTTTAGTTACTGTTGCTTGCCACATAAGCGTAAGAACTACGAACCTGATACAACAGACTTTTTTTTTTTTTTGTAAAGAAGAGAGAAGAATGCCTCCAAACCGTCCTGGGAAGAAATTGTCAGTAGATGACCGAGTGTCCATGCAGCCTGGTTCGAGAGGTTAGTTATATTTTATTTTGTACAGCAGAAATTTTGTGCCATATATTAACATACCAATGCCCTGTTACAGTAAAACTGTTAACAGTATCTTTTAAAGTTTCAAATGAAATTGATCAAAAACCTTTGCCATGATAGGAACTTTGATGTTTTTTCTTGTCTTCAACATTTATTGCAACAATGTATGAGAAGTATGATTCATTTTACAGATTTTTAAAATACCACTTCCTTGTAGAGGAGGGGAGCAAGGGGCCAGTACCTGGTCTGTGCATATAGGCAGGACTTCCTTGTAATGTAGTGATGTATTTTTGCCTCAGGTAGGGAATTACATGTACATAATACAGGACATAATTCACAATGTACTGGATTTTAAAAAAAGAAATTTTTATTGTACTGATGAGCTACAGTGAGTAGGCACCCATTTTTGTGCTTTACTTTACACAGGTTGTTGATGAAAGTGAATGAAATTGAAAATGAAAGTAAGGAAGGGACGTCAACAATGCCATCAGCGTCATCAGATGTTCAGTTTCTTGCAAATTTCTACAATAAGAATTGCTTCCGCAGCGTATATAGCCTGCTCACACTCACCATTCAGCAATGCATTACATGGCTGTATACACCATGAAAGCCATTCTGCCTTGAGAGAATGGCAAATTTTGTCTTTTGGCTTGCAAAATAACATTCGACATTGTGAAGTGCGTGACTGTTGTGTACTTTACTTTAGATAGAACTGATTTTTGTGTTCGATATTTGGCAGCACAACAGGTTCATGTAAATCAAGACCTCCTGTTTCCATGTGTGGAGTCGTGTTGCTGACTAAAGCCCTGACAGCTGTCTACAGCCAGGTAAGTTTGGTCCCAAGTAACAACCTCTTGTTTCATCTCCACGAAATGAGTACTATAATGTGTTTCTTGTAAATATTAAGCACTTAAAAAAGACAAACCACCAAGGAGTGTACTGAGATCATACGACAAAGTTCATAATTTTTTATGTAGTGACTGGTCGCAATTTCTCTTGTGTGGATCAAAACTTTAAATTAAACCTGTAACTAACAACACAGATGAACTTTCATGATGGTATCTAAGTGAGGTGGATCATACCATCATGGTCATATGAAGAATGATACACAAGACAATTCTACAAAATGTACAAGCTTATAAGTATTGATTCAGAATCATTATGTGGTATTTGTTTCTTGTGTGAAAGAAATTTCCCTGTACATGGATGAAGCATATGTCAAAAATCTTGCACCATGCAGGACTGAAACTGCACCATGATGTTTAAGAAGCCAGCAGGTGTGCTGATGTTCCTCCTCGTCATCCTTAAGGTGTTGGGAACAGCAGAAGCTTCTTACTGCAGCTCAACTTGTTCACCTTCCTGTGACTGCAGCCATGGGGGTCTCAACAGTGTTCTACAGGGCCTGCCAACAACCATCACACGCTTGGATTTGTCAGAGAATCGTATCAGAAATTTAAGTCAGTCTGATTTCTCACGGTATAGACGCTTAGAGACATTAGATCTTAGAATTAATAGCATTTCTATCATCAATAACCAGACATTCTATGACTTGCCCAACTTGGTCAACTTATATCTCTCCGCAAACCGCCTTACAAGCCTCAGACCTGGCATGTTCACAGGGTTGAGGAACTTGTGGGCCATTTGGCTGAACAATAATGACATCAGTCATATTCAGGCTAGAACTTTCGATCCAACTCCACAACTGCGACTCTTGTGGCTATCCTACAATCAACTTCAATTCATTCCATCCAATTTACTGGCAAATCTACGGCAACCTGCAGAACTCAGATTGAATAACAACATAATATCAAAATTTCCCTTTGAAAATTTGTCAAACATTGGAACAATTTCTACTCTTCGCCTTCACAATAACCTAATGACAACCCTTCCCTCTATAGCCTATGACATACTTTCATCCATTGATCATTTAAGCATGTACGACAACCCCTGGCAGTGTGACTGTAGGATGGTGGACTTCAGGTTAAAAATGACTGGTTCAAATCTTTTTGAAAACGATATCACTTGTTCCCAACCTAACAACTTCTATGGGCAGAAACTGATAGACATCAATCTTGAAGATTTGATGTCAAAATGTCAAGAACCAACAATTGTGAGGTTTGAGAGAGTTGACAACATGACTTTGTATCTGGGAGATACTCTTCATTTAGTCTGTGAAGCTTCAGGAATCCCCACACCAGAGATCACAGTCACTCTCCCATCTGGACTGATTGCTACTGTTGAGTCAGTTGGGAGAGTGACTGTGTGGGAGAATGGCACCATCATCGTGAGAAATGTTACTGCTGTAGATGCTGGTCTATATGCATGTGTTGCAGTAAGTCCTATGGGCACCACAGATGCCATTCTTTATGTAAATATGGTCTATGAAGAGCCAGCTATTGTCAGGTTTGAGCAAAGGGATAGTACTAGTAACCCACTGATAGAGGGAGAGACTCTCTATTTAGTCTGTGAAGCTTCAGGAATCCCCACACCAGATATCACAGTCATTCTCCCATCTGGACTGATTGCTACTGTTGAGTCAGTTGGGAGAGTGACAGTTTATCTGAATGGTACAATAGCCATAAGAAATGTTACAGCAGCAGATGCTGGCCTGTACACTTGTATTGCACGAAATTTAGCCAACTCCACTTCTGCCACCCTGGTTGTAGATCTAAATGCAGTCCCCATGGCCACAACTGTTTTGACACCAATAGTCATCATGACATCACCTCCTTCCCCCAGTTTCTTCTTGCCTGTACTCCTTGGTGCTACCTGTGGTTCTGCATTTGGTACTGCCATTATTGTTGCCATTATTCTCACAGTTTGGTGCAAAAGAAGCAGCAACCAAAGGCCTCCTGAAGGCCCAGACTCCAGTGTTGTTCTTAGCAACACCAACGCCACAACTACCACTGTGAACACTAATGGGCAGGATCTGACAGGGCAAGCCCAACCTATCAGTCCACCCTTAAATGTCGATAATCTACTGATCGTCCCACACCCAGATTCCCCCCAGTCCGAGTCTGACGAAGATGCGCAGCCTCCTCTAAGAGGTACAGATTCAAGGCAACCTGGTACAAGTCCATCTTCGGATGTCACAAACCCACATCTCACCCAACAACCAGCTTCCTCCGAGTCAGATTTATCTTACACGGATGTGGAGTCTCCTCTAAGAGTTACAAATTCAAGGCAACCTGATACAAGTCCATCTCAAGATGTCACAATCCCTCTGCTTGACATGCATGTACGGCGAGCCTCCTCTGAGTCAGAGATGTATGAAGATGTGGAAACTCCTCCAAGTGATGCAAATCCAAGGCAACCTGATACAAGTCCATCTTCAGACGTCCAAGGGCCAGCTGTCCTAGAATCAGAGCTTTACGAAGATGTGGAGCCTTCTCCAACAGGTGCAGTTCTGAGACAAACTGTTACAAGTCTATCTTCGGATGTCACAAACCCACATCTTGTCCCACGGCCAGCTTCCTCCGAGTCAGAGTCATCTTATGAAGATGTGGAGCCTCCTCTAAGTGATTCAGATCCAACACAACCTGATACAAGACTTAGTCCATCTCCTGAAGTCTCACACCCTCTGCTTGCCCCACGGCCAGATTCCCCCCAGTTCCAAACTTACGAAGATGTGCAGTCTCCTCCAAGTAACCCCAGGCAGGCCCTAGAACCACACTACAGCAATAACACTTCTGACGAGCCTTCCCCCCTCCCCACTCCCCACACAGCTAATCCTGGTAGGCAGGAGAAACACGCCTACCAACCTCTACTGACAACCAGGAATCAGCCAGACAGTGGCCAGGACACTCCCCATCCCTACCAGCCACTGACAAGGAACTAAATACTAGCAATAGACTATAGAGACATCTGAAAAGTTTTAACACTTAGCCAAGAGATTTAATGCTCAAACTTAAGAAAAATGAAACAATGCCTGAATATCACACACCAAAGATTACAAAGTGCCTGTTCTTACAACATGAAGTCATCCTAAAAATTTAAAAGCCAGTGCAGACAAGGAAGATCTGAAACATCAGTCTGAATGTCACTGTCATATAATATCTACGGATAGGTTGCCCAGCCTGTTTACTACTAACAGCCTTTCTATTTAGAGAAAAGATACTTGTTCCGATCTACTGATCAAATGCCTGCCTTAAAGTTAAAATTAAAAAGCCAGACAAGAATAAACAACCAGCTTGAATTAATATCACACAGTCATGGATGCATATTTACATTGTAGTCTAAAAGCTGAACACCCTTACTAGTATATAGCTAATGTACATGTTTTACCTAAGTACAGACTCACTCACTCACTCACTGCACGGCTTAGCGTCCATTGTTCCCCGTCATACAAGGGTTGGACGTCGTGGGGTGTCGTTTGGGTCTAATAGCTGCTCTCCAGCTGCTTCTGTCTAGCGGGTTGGCCTTCTGCAGTTTCAAGTTTTTCACGTCATTTAATGACGTGAAAAACTTGAAACTGCAGAAGGCCAACCCGCTAGAGATTTATAGAGAAGGTCATTTATAGAGAAAAGATAGCCATCTACTGGTAATCAACAGAATCTGATGTAATCTGAGTCATTATTTGATGAAAATATTGAAGTCAGGATTAATCTATTCCTAAATTGATTTTCTGGTGTGGTTCACTCACTCAGTCACTATCCTGGTTTAGATTATTCTGCTGTCGGTTAATTTAAGTTAATAGTGTTTAGAATTCAAATACATGTGTACTGTCTATTAGTAGATAAATGTCACTGCAGCAATCCGTCTGTATAACAATTGCAGTAATTATACAGCCCTTGAAAACGTATCCAAGTTTGTAACAATGAACCTTTAAACTTAAGCCAACATGTAAACATATTAATTACCATTAAGGTCTTCTTTAACTTTACTTTCTAGAAGAATACAGATACAGTGATATTGATTAGTTTTGATGAGGTGAACAATTTCATTTTTTATTCATTAAGTATCATTTATGATAGTGTTTGTGGAAACTTGAATGTGTGTCTGTATAGATGAGTGTACAAAATGTATTGTTTTGTTATTGAAATTTTTTGTTTTGATTGTTAAATAATGATGTTTAAAAAAATTTTTGCTTTTAATTCATGCTACCTTCTGTGTGCAAGTGTATTTCTTTTAATATATGTGTTTAAATGACACTGTGTGTGTGTTTGTGTGTGTATGCGTGAGCGAATCACAGTTCAGAATTAGAGCTAATGTGAAATTGTAACAAAATTTAAATGATAGACCAAGAAAGTCCTTAGAATAATTTGCTGACCTAAACATTTGAAAGCAGTCCCCTTTATTCAAACAAGTGTCCAGTCCCTGAGCACATGTGTACACACGTGTGGTGTGGCTTCCATGGACCTTTGGAACAGCCTGACCTATTTTTGGAAAGATAAGCTGATTGTGTGTACGTACTGGTCTGTACGCACGCGTGTTGCCCGCGTAACGCAACAACACGACTGTTCTGTTTGCCAAGAAAGCTCAAGTGCATTGGTGTTTTACTAAGGAGCTACATTGTAGCTAAGTAGACTAATACAGTGCAGTTATTCAAGAGCCATTCATTCACTTATTTGTTCATTCAATCATTCACTTTTATGTGTTAGACCAAAGTCCAAAAGTACTATGTTGGTTGTGTGAGAGTGTTAACCTCGAAAAAGGCACTTTCCACAAATTTCCTCACTTCACTCAGGTGTGAATGAGTATTGTATTGTCCTCTATGTTGGTGACGGCATAAAAATAAGTTGAAAAGACTTGAGTGCCGTCACCATGTCTTGTGATTACACGTTGGAATAAAAAAAACTATAACTGTTTCTTTTGGCCCTATTCCATCTACTGCACTAAGTTTAATTTAGTAGGGCACCCTCACGTGTACACACATTGTGCTGTGACATCAACACCTTACCTGATTAGTTATACAGGTAAGAATAAATCTGCCCACCTGGTCTTAACAATAACAAATCAAGTTTATACACTCTCAATACGTTGGTGAAGGTCAGACATCCATTTAAACTGGACGTTGACAGTCGTACCTGACCAAAGAGTCCTTGTCTACTCTACTTGAAAAAAAACTAAGCATGTCAGGTTACGCACATCAGTAACTGTGTACTGCTTGAGAGCATGCATCAGGTTTAGGTATAATATCTATTTGATATCAGCTCTAAATGCCAGTGTAAAGATCATAGTTTAAACATTACCAGGATTTGAGTAGACATTATACAAAATTACCTACTAGTAGGCTCAGCTCTCCGAAAAATTTTGCTGCTTTAATAGCAATTAAATCGAGGCAATTAAAGTATTTCTACTTCAGGGGTACCTGAGAGCATACAGTGCAATTTTACGGAATACAGTGCAATCGTATTAGCATTACTTGTAAAATTGCACTGTATACACTATCACAGGATATGAAATGGGACACACATATAAATTATGTCACTGGTAGAGCTAATAGGATACTGGCAGTCATCCGCCGTAACCTTTCGCACTGTCCTCTTCGTGTCAAATCTACATGCTACAGAACACTTGTACGCCCACACCTGGAGTACTGTGCGACTGTATGGGATCCCCACACCATCGGTGGTTCCCAGGCGTTGGAGCGAGTCCAACGAAGGGCGGCGCGAATGACTGTTAGTGATTATGACTATACCAGCAGTGTTTCTGACATGCTAAAGCGCCTCCAGTGGCCGTTACTTGTTGACAGAAGGAGAACCGCTCGCTTGATATCTTTATATAAAATTGCTCATGGACATTTTAATATTCAAATGGAACAATACCTCAAACCTGCCCATAGGCGTACCAGAGGAAGTCATGAATATAAGTATCAAGCAATACCTGCCAAAACAGACTGTTTTAGATTTTCTTTTTTTCCAAGAACGATAAATGAGTGGAACAAGTTGCCGGGCCAGCTAGTAAAAGCCCACCTCTGTAAAAATGAAAGCGTCCCCGACGGAGAAACGCCCGTTTAAACGCCCGTTTGTGGTGGCCGTTTGATTGGGACGGCTGCCCGTCCCTGGCGGTAAACGGGGACTACGGACGCCTGGACAAAGGCCAGAAACGGGCCAGGACGCCTCAAACGCCTGGGACGCCGTCAGAACTGTCCGTTTTCGACGGCGTCCGGGCGTTTCTTAAGGCGTTTGGGCGCCGTTTCCGACGGGCTACCGGGCGGGCTGCTGGACGCGCTGCCGGACGGGCTCCCGGACGGGCTCCTGGGCGGGGCCGGGCGACGCTTGGGACGGCACAGGTGGGGTCCAAACGGTGTTTCCGACGGCCGGACGGGTCTCTGGGGGGTGCTCAGTCATTGTGGACATTTTGATCTTGCCGCTCCGACGGGGTTGGGACGGCGTTTCCGACGGCGTCCCGTGACAGAAGGTGCCGATATAGTAATATTGAAAACAATTGCAGATTGGCATCGAATCAACAAGTAACGGCCCGGCCGCCCACATTGTAACAGTTGCCGTAACGAGCCGTGAGTAAATACAAGTGAAGTAAATACAAAATACCATGATCAAACGAAAAAGATTTTCTTCAAGAATATAGAGTAACAAAATGTTGAACAGCGGCTGTAAACAGCGGCGAACATGCGACAACAGTAATCCACCATTGTGAGCGCACACAAACATAAAGGGCGAGGGTGTAAGAAAATTACAAGTGCAAACATTGCCTAAGTGGGCATTTTAACATAATCGTCTTTCCTCAATAAAATTCGTATAATATATAATTATATTCTACGTAGTTTTTGTGCGTCTTGGAAGATTTTGTATGAAAACAACATTGACGGTTGCGTTTGTAGATGGCAGCCGTGACGTCAGGACTTTCCCGGGCCGAACTTGTGTGCGGGACTTCGAGTCTCTTTTTGTGTATGACGTGTACATTTTTACGGCATCATCGTTCTTTATTAAAACAGCAGGTATTGTACACAATTATTCTACAAATCGTTCGTGTGCGTCTTTTTATTTTTCGGCGTTAAAACATTGAATTTCCTTTATCAGCCCGGCGGTGCATGTGAAAAAATTGATGTGGGGAGGGCAGTCTCGGGGAGGACGAACAAAATATAACCGCAAACTTCTCAGCAGCCCCTGGAATTAACTAATGTTCTGTTGTGGCAATTGTAACACTGTCTTACACAGTTCCCTTGTAACATTTGACAACGAAAATTCTTGTCCACTTACCGAGTATCCTCGAAAAAGAATCGCCGAGACAGATTGCTTCCGTACACCCAAAATTCTGGCGGCCGCTGTTTACATTCTTGGAACACCTCGTTTGACATTTTAGTCAGTCGCTGGAGATGCCAAAACTTGTGTGCAGCGTCGACGATAGATATAGCTGCTTGTATGACTGAAATCCATTCTCCAAAATTGCAGACAATCCAACAAAATGGAAAAAACTGAGGTCGACTGAGCAGCAGACGTGTTCCCCAGTCAGCCCGGTGACCGTTAAATCTAGCGCCTTCAAACTTGGCGCATGTGCGTTAGAAACCTAAACCCCCCTGGGAAACATCGTGAAGCACGTAAGTGCCGGCCGCTGCTGTTGTCAATTAATTAATAAACGCCCGTTTCCATGCCGGACGGTTCAGGACGGGCTGGGAGCGACGGGGTGCCGTCACTAATTTCTGGGACGGCCGTCCGGGGGAAGTTTGTGGACGCTGCCAACTGTGTTGGGACGGTCAGGACGCCGTTTCCCGCTAAGGACGGGCAGGGACGGCGTCCGGTGGGCGTTTCCCCGTTGGGGACGCTTTCATTTTTACAGAGGCAGACAGTGGAGGCCTTCAAGGCCGGGCTTCTGGCCGCGCAGCCATAGTCCGTCGCACCCCCCCCCCTCTCAGTGATACCCCAGTAGGGGTGGTTAGAGAGTATTGAAGAAGAAGAAGAAGAAGAAGTATACTGGTAAAATTGCACTGTATTCCATAAAATTGCATTTTATACTCTGGCACCCCTGTACTCACCAACTTATGTTAAGTTACAGTTAAAACTTTAACATCGATGTTATGTCACAATGCACTCGTTATATTGCTTGCCAACCTTTAAAAAATCACTAAACGTCTAAGCAAGGACAATAGAAAGCGAATTTTACCTGCGTGTGCCTCCGATACTCCTTACGTAATGAAGAAAATCGTATGTTGTTCCCAGCTGCTGCACTTTGACCCCCTGACCTACATTTTACCCCTGACCTAAATTTCACCTACACGCCCCCCCTCCCCACCTGACAGCCTGTTCTAAATAGTAAATTATCGTCTGAATTCCATTCGCTGAGGAAAATTCTGACGAAAACCGAACTCTATACGATGCAAAGATAAAGTTAAAAGTACACGACATTGACAAAAGGTGTAAGTAAAAGGGTTTGACCTTCTTTCTTGACAGGAACGACCTTCAGAATCAGACGACAGACCGCAGGTGTCACAGTTTCTGAACCAGGTCACCAAAGGGCACTGACTCCCGATAACCTCCTTGCAATGGTTGACTTATTGTAGAACTTATCGCCATTGTTGTGGGTTTAGGGCGATACTAGTAGGTGGCGTGTTTTTGTGGCTAGGTCAGCGAATTCTCGGGGGTAAAGAAGTTGTTTACGAAGTTATGATAATAATTTTGACATCCACACGATTGCCGAATACTTTTCTGTGCTGAAGTTGATGCCTTAGCACAAGCGTCACTAAGCGACATGCAGGCGAACTTCATGCTCACGTCAGACGACAAGCAGACGATTTTGGGAGTTTACATTTACAGAAAAGGGGGGTATTACAAATGGAGACATTGTAAGTTAATATTTTATAACCTTCAGTTGACTATTGTTGGAATAAATGTTCATTTCAGGCAATATTTATTGTTTCTCTCTACTTCAGAATTTGTTGAATAAATAAAAAGGTAGGAAAAGAAATACTTGCAACATTGTGAACCTATCCTTTTCCGCCATTTTGGCACGGTCCTCAGTTTGGCGCCATTTTCAAAAGACATTTCTGTCAGCAAATCGTCTGCGCCTACAGACGGTAAGTGGGAACTGTTGTGATATTGGTCCTCAAACAAAAGTCAGGGAGCATTTAGACATAAACTATCACCTATGGAACTGGTGTTTACATGTATTTGCTGGTTGAGGCTCGAAAAACAGATAATACGGGCTTTCATAGGGCTATACATTGCTGTTGACACCAGCATATATGGTAAACAATGTCAATGCTGAGTACAGTGTATACATTTAGAGACTGTTAACTCGAATCGACGTTGCATGATCGAAAAGCTAGAGCCCAGAGAAAAGGGTCTTTCTCAAGTACAGAATGGATATGATATACGAGTGCGTACAAGTTAGATATGACTGCATAAACATATTGTTGAACCATGGTCTAGCGATAAATGTTTAATATTCCTTCGTAACGTCGTTCTCATGTACAGTCTGAGTACCAGTGAATTAATATGTATATATTAGTCATGTGCTGTTTAACGTGTTATTATTTCTTAGGACAGTGCTGTACTGCTGTTTGTAATGAGCACAATATAGACACCGGGCAGGGCGGTGTTGCAAAACAGTAAGTGTGGTCTAAAGTAAATAGCTGGTCTTTCGTCTCAGTGGTTTTTCATGTCATACGATCGCCTTTGTTTCCAACTTCCAGAAAAAGCAGGCAATTTGCCTCCGCTGTAGAGTGATAAACAGACAGGACAATCTTTGATGCATAGGATGTTAGTTACAGTATTTGAGAATTTTTACCATTACTAATGTGTCTGGTTTTAAATGTGTGCTAATATATCCTTGTTTTATTGAAACTAGTCTTCACCAACATCAGCTATATATAGCGTCGAGAAGCAGAACTCCAGTCACAAGCTCTGAGGAAGGTGCCTGATGGACACCGAAACGTAAGCAAGGTAAGATACGTTTGGTTGTGTAAAAGAAAACCCCTATATCCTAGTCTCGTGTCGTATTATATAGTACTGTATAGTGTTTTGCCGACCACTGAAACTAAATACAAGTTGACCAAAGTCATTTGAAATCTCTAAAATCCATTGCAGTTCCTTGGAAACCTGTGCTTAATGCTAAGATAACAATGCTTAACCCGGACCGATCAGGTATGAAAAGTATGATATACAATTGCCTCCATAGCATGCCAAAAACTGGGTGGTTTCGGGGGTCTTCATGGTCTTTGGGAGCTTTTATGTGCTATTTTCTGATTGCATATAGACAACATAGCCGGCCTGGGCTAATCAGAAAACAGCCGAAGACCACCAAACTCCCAGTTCTATAAGCCTGCTACGGAGGCTAGATATAGAAGACAAGACAACACAAAAAAGTTGCAGTATTTATGCATATTGTTTATATGAATTGCTTATTTTTCGCTAATCAAAACAGCCCGACCGTGCCCCGGTTTGGAAATGTGACCTTAGCGTAAAGTGGGCATGTCCAGAACAGGTTGAAACATAATCACAGCACCACATGGGAGCATTACTGAGTCCATCTCGTCAAATGGCCTAATTAATGGCCGCTCCATCAGCTAAGGCCACAGCAGGTAAAGTTTATGGATGACATCCTCTGCAGACTCCGAATGTAATGCGAGCGGGCGAAAAAAACAAGGCGGGCCGAAAAAAACAAGGTTTCTACCTACCGCAAAAAGCCAACATGTGGCGGCTTGTCGTATACGTCGCTAAGTACTACCACAGATTCACAATACCAGCTTTGTATTCCTGTGGTTTAGTAGCGCTAGCATTTTTATTTTTGGCCGGATTTTTTTATTCGCCCGCGCGCTCTAGTTTGAGGGTCTTTATAGGATGTCATCCTTGAAATTAAGACGGTGTGGCCTTAATTAATGGCCGCTCCATCAGCTATGCAGGGAAAACATCCGCTCGCCGTGCGCGCATACGGGCCGGGGATTTGGTCCTGGGCCACTCGTAGTCTCCTGGGCACGCTTCATTACAGCTGTCCATTCTGTGGAGGGGACGCAAATATTAGCTGATTTCCGATTTATTATCGCTAATTATCATCGTTTGTCAACCAAAACTGGCTCCCCTTGAAAAAAAAAACAAGTTGTTAAAGTTGAATATGGCTTCCCAGTTTCTTAGATAAATCCTTTAAACGACTGAAAGGTGCATATTCATCCCATGACAGCAGCTAATTTCTTATTCATTAGCACTTACTATCACAGTTTGTGAACTAAAACTAGGTGCCCAACGGAAAACAACTTGTTAAAGCTGAATGTGGTTATAATGTAGTTTGAGCATTATGTAAAATCTTTTTTAACAGCTTAAAGTGCAGTCTTTTATACAAGGTATCCGTTTGTAATTACTATACATACACTGCTTATAACAGGCAAGGCTGTCAACATTTCAAGGCTGGGATGTCAAGAGTGGGCGGAGCATACTGAAGATTTAATCCAGTTTTCACATGACTTGACAAAATGAACTGATAGCTTGTATGCTGTAAACTTTTAGCGACGTTACTTTGAAAAATCCCTGAGTGTATACTACTAGTTTCGTGATCAGGAGAAATATTCACGGTACTTGTGTGATAATCTCCAACTAGATAATTGATTTGGAACGGCCCATGCCAGCACTCCCGCCATTGACGTCACTGAGGTCATTTTTGAAAGTTCCCAGCAGGCCTTTCCCACCGGACGCCGCTCTAAATGAAGCTTCCTTACGTCACGTGTAGGTGTTAATTCTGTTGACAAACCTAAGTGTTAATCCTGTTGATAATCCGGGTGGTGTTAATCCCTTGCTAATCCCCGCCGATGGATTGCTACAGTTTCAGCAGCTTCAGATCTGCTCATGAGAAAATATTTCACCCTCCAAACAGATGTTCGGGCTTCGGCTTATTTTTGACATGTTTGTACGCATTTGTGGTGGGCTTTCTTTTCTGTACCGGTATCTTTCCTTTTTCTCCCTGTCAACATGATACGGTCTTGTAGCCTAATCTCCAAGCACATTCTATGGTACTTACTTATCCTCTTCACTCCTAGCGAGACTAAAGGCCATGAATTTGTCTTTCCATCTGGGTCTGTTCTTTGCCACCTTCTTTGCTGATCGCCAAGGTAATCTCATGAACACCAGGTCATCCGTCAAAGATCTTACCTAGGCAGTGTCCTTCAGTAGCTAATAGACACTCCTTGACCCATCGGATATCGCCTTACCACCTTAGGATCTGCTTGGAGATTACTCCAGCCACCACAGGATCTGCTTGGAGATTGTTGAAGCCACCAAAACACCTACTCGTAGACCTTGCCGCCTTAGGATCTGCTTGGAGATTATTGTAGCCACCTTAGGATCTGCTTGGAAATTACTGTAGCCACCAAAGATCTGCTTGGAGATTACTCTAGCCACCAAAACACCAAAAGCTCTGCCCGAAGATTAAGTCCAGCAGCTTGCGGATCTCCTCATCGTGATGCCGTCCTGGTCCGGAGGTGTTGGAGCTCCGCCTGGGGCGCCGGTAATGGTCCCACCCGGGCCGGCCGCTGATTGGTCCCCCGGCTCCTCCTCCCTTTCATCCTCCGCCTCCCCATCTCCTGGTGACGTCACGGCCTGACATGCCCGCGGAACCGCCAGCGAGACCGGAGTACCAAGTCGGGCCGGACGCGCCAGGAATTACAGTTTTCCGTGACCACGAAAATACAGCCGACAGTGTTCTTAGCCTCCGTAGCAGGCTTATAGAACTGGGGG